TTTCTGAAGCCCACGATGCACGTGTGTTTGTATACATATATATTGTTTCCAGTTTGTGGATCAAGAAGCTTAGTGCATGCTGGTGGGTTTTTCTTCTTGTTTTTTTGATCCACGTCCCTCTGGCATAATAAACTTCAGAAGTGACAATGGACCCGGTAACGGTCCTCTTGTCTGAAATGTCCACCGGGGTACCAAAAGACCTCCTGCCTTTGGAGCTTAGATCTTAGCCTCCGGTGGGATTGGTCCATGGGTTAGCTGTCCCCCTGGATTCTTCTGTCCTCTTCGACAAAAGAAGACCACATATCTTCTCCGAAGGCAAGGACTTGGGAGTCTTCCCTTCCCTTCCCGAGGCCCACTCACAGAGCTTGGAAAGTTTGCCTTTTTTTAGACCACTGCTCCCAGCATCTTCCAGGTGACCCCGCTGGCTGGGACATTTTGGGAAGCTATGGTTCAAAAACATAACTGATCCAAGCTCTGATCTATCTGTCCCTGAATCCCTCCCTTCCCCCCCCCCCAATGTTGGGAGCGGCGCTTGGCCATGAAGCTTTTGCCCATCTGATCTCTTGGCATGCTCTTCTGGGCCCACCTGAGCAGAGGTAGCTCCTTGCCTCCATGCTAATCCCCCCCGTCTTCCTTTCCTCACCCAGTCGGGGGGCTCTGACCAGGAGCGGACCAAGAAGAAGCGCCGCGGGGACCGCTACTCCGTCCAGACCTCTCTCATCGTGGCCACCCTGAAGAAGATGCTGCCCATCGGCCTGAACATGTGCTCCCCCACCGACCAGGAGCTGATCAACCTGGCCAAGATGCGCTACGCCCTGGTGAGTGGTGGTGGGGGGACAGGCTGGAGCGTTTTAGGTGGGAGCTGAAGAGGAGCCATCAGGGTCCAAGGAGTGTTATGCCTTTCCCGTAGATTGTTATTATGTGTCGTCAAGTCACTTCCAGCAGCCCTATAAATCTCCAAAATGCCCCGTCCTCAAGGGCCCTGCTCACTTCTTGATGAAACTCAACCCTGTGGCTTCCTTTAGGGAGTCTATCCATCTTGCATTGGGGTCTTCCTCTTTTCCTGCTGCCTTCCGCCTTTCCCAGAAAAATCCTGCCTTCTCAGGTTGTGCCCAAAGTAGGAACAGCCTCAGCGGCCTTTTGCCTCCAGAGAGAGAGAGTTCAGGCTCGACTTGCTCTAGGACCCACTTGTTAGTCTCCCTGGCCATCCAGGGCATCTGCAAAGCTCTTCTCCAGCATCACATTTCAAATTTTTATTCCTGCTGGCTTTCTTAACTGTCCAGCATTCACACCCGTACATGGTGATTAGAAATACCCCCGAGTGTGTAGATATAGCTACAGTGTAAGATAAGCTAATACAGCAGGGGGACATTTCCTCCAGATCTGGGGCCCCGCAAACACCTCTCTGGTCACAGTTGCAGGGGCTGAACTGTGTGGTTTAATCAGGGAGGCCGTTCAGTGGCTCTGAGACCAGGGCCAAATTTTGAGACACCGCTTTTTTTTGGCCTGCACCTCCCATAATCTTCCTGCCAGCATGTCCAGCTATTGGTGCCTTTTAGTCTGGAATCAGCCACCAGGATGTGAAGAAGGGACCTTTCTGAACTACTTTTTAAAATAATGTGAACCATTAGCTTCAGTTCTTCCTGACGTGCCGGACCGCTGCCTGAACAGAACCAATGTCACTCTGAGATAACTTCACAATTTACACTCAATGAAATGTTTACATTGCTCTTGTCAATTTATTTCTCTAAATGATACCTATTCCTACCTTTTAGAATAGAATCCTTTTCCAGGTAGCTTGGAACGAAGACCAAGGTGTATTAATAAAAATCCTCTCCCCACCCACTCCCTAAAAATCCAATTAAAAAGTCATGATGCGGGTGTGAACAGTGTCGATTGCCTATGTTCCCAAGTAAAATAAGAGTGACAGTAGGCATTCTTCTCTGCTCACATGAACGGCTTTCCTTTCCCACTTCTGCAGAAAGACACGGATGAGGAGGTGCGGGATTTCCTCAACAACAACCTGCATCTCCAAGGGAAGGTGAGTCCCGGAGCGGCTGAGGGTTCCAAGGTCAGCCACCGAACTTCATGTGTCAGTGGGGACATGTATTGGGGTATCAAGCTAGCCCTTGAATTGCTTTGCCCTGCAGCTTCTCGGTTCAAAGGCTTTATGGGTTTCTTCTGCCCACTGCCTTCTGTCCACCTGGGGCTGTCCTGGGAGGCCCACGGAGAAAATAATCTTTATCTCCTGTTATCTGGGATATGTCTTGACCTCCGTGGCTGTCATTCATGTCCTCCATGCCAGAGGTAGTGGGAGATGGGGCAGAGCAGGCCCCTGTCCTCCAGATGCAGTGTTGTCGGCCAGCGGCACTGACAAGCCCACACGGTCTCCCTTGCAGTGTGAGAACTCCTCCTCCATGCGCTGGCAGATGGCTCTCTATAAAGAGATGTCTGGCAAAGCCGAGGACAGCAACGATCCGGAGAAAATTGTGAAACGGGTTCAGGAGGTCTCAGCTGTGCTGTATCACCTGGAGCAGGTATGGACAGATAAAATGGACAGGTTTTGTCAGGCATTCTAGGCAACTGCCCCGCAAAGCAAAAGGGCCAAAGCAAAGCAAATTTTTAAAAAGTGTGCTGCTTAAAATACCACCCTATAGTGCTTAAAGCACTCTCTGGGTGGTTTATAATTTGTTTTTTAAAAGTGTGCTGCTTAAATACCGCGCTATAGTGCTTAAAGCACTCTCTGAGTGGTTTATAATTTAATTATGCAGGGTATACATTGACTCCCCTCCCAACCAGTTTCATTTTACCAAGAAGGATAAAAGGCTGAGTCCACCTTGAGCCGGCTACCTGGGATTGAATCCACGTCGCCATGAGCAGAATTTTGGCTGCAGTACTGCAGTTTAACCTCTGCACCACTGCTTGTCTTATTAAGGATCATCCTCACCCCCATTGGCATCTTGGCTGCCATTCTTTGAACCAGAATGCTCGTTATAAAAAAGAGATTCATTCAAAGACCTGCACAAACTGGCAGCTGGAAGGGATAAACTCAGAAGACTATATAGAGTTCCTCTCCGGTCAGTCTGGTTATTAGTTTGGAGGTTGAGTTACCCTCAGGCTTCATCTATTTAGATTTGAGGACAGCTTTAAGGAGGAACAAAGCCACATGTGTGACGCTGATGACATTTCGGCACCAGGTCAAAACCTTCCTGTTCCAAATGGCTTTTTAACTGAAATAATATCAGCTGTAGGTCTGATGGCAATTTTTAGAATATATATTTTAATTGCATTTTAATTATTTTGCCCTTTTATTTTGCCTTTTTATTGTATTTTAAATGCTGTAAGCCGCCCAGAGACCTTCGGGTAGTGTGGGCGGCATATAAGTTAAATAAATAAATAAATAAGATGGCATCTATTTAGGTTTGAGGATGGCTTTAAGGAGGAACAAAGCCACATGCGTGATATAAAATTTATCGAAAACCATGATGTTAAATGGATGCCGCAAAAAACCACAGTTCAAGCCAAAGAAAGCTCAGCAGGTGCCTTCTGGTGGCCAGGCCGCAGAAGGGTCAAAGGGAAGACGGGTCTATCGAAAACCATGATGTTGAATGGATGCCGCAAAAAACCACAATTCTAGCCAAAGACAGCTCAGCAGGTGCCTTCTGGTGGCCAGGCCGCAGAAGGGTCAAAGGGAAGACGGGTCAGGAAAAGCTGGCGAGGAGCTCAGAGGGGTTGTGGGTGCTGTCAGCTTTTTGTCTGCCCCACAGACGGAGCACCCGTACAAGTCCAAGAAAGCCGTGTGGCACAAACTCCTCTCCAAGCAACGCCGACGTGCCGTGGTCGCCTGCTTCCGCATGACGCCGCTGTACAACTTGCCCAGGTGAGTGAAACAGAGAGGGACCCTTCGTTTGCCAGTGGTAAACCAAAGCCACACCAAAAACACATTCAGCAACGCCGACGTGCCGTGGTCGCCTGCTTCCGCATGACACCGCTATACAACTTGCCCAGGTGAGTGAGACAGACAGAGAGGGACCCTTCGTTTGCCAGTGGTAAACCAAAGCCACACCAAAAACACATTCAAAGCAATAAAGCACAACCATCCATTAAAAAACCCCAACTGAGGCAGCCTGTCCTTGAGGGAAAGCTTGCCTGAAGAGACAGGTCTGTGCCTGCTGGCGGAAGGACAGCCAAGAGGGGGCCAGCTGGGCCTCCAGTGGGAGGGAGTTCCAGAGTCTCTGGGAGCCGCCAGAGAGAAAGCCCTATCCCGGGTCCCCACCAAGTGCGCCTGTGAGGGTGGTGGCGGCAGGACAGCCAAGAGGGGGCCAGCCAGATCTCCAGTGGGAGGGAGTTCCAGAGTCTCTGGGAGCCGCCAGAGAGAAAGCCCTATCCCGGGTCCCCACCAAGTGCGCCTTTGAGTGTGGTGGGACCGTGAGGGAGACCTCCCTAGATGATCTTAACACCCAAGCAGGCTCATGAAGGGGAAATGCAGGCCCAAGCCATTGAGGGCTTCATAAGTTAGAACCAGTACTTTAAAATAACGGTCTCATCTTATCACCACCCCATCCTCTTAAGGAAAAAGCAAGTAAGGCAGAACATGGCCGGACCTGCTGCTGATCTGCTTTTCTGCTTTCCAGGCATCGAGCTTGCAACATGTTTCTGGAGAGCTACAAGCTGTCCTGGATCCTCACCGAAGAGCATCCCTTTGAAGACAGGATGATTGATGATTTGTCTGTGAGTCTTGGGAATGATGGGGAAAACAGAACTCTCGGGGATACCCAGACTATGCTTCCACGACTGACTGAACCCTGCTATGGCCCACCAAACCTTCTGCATTTGCCCTTCCCAAATCCGCTCCTTCCTCCTTTCTAGGTCCTTCTCGCAATTTGAAGGAGGGATTTTGTGAATAGAGCTGAACCCTGCTATGGCCCACCAAACCCTCTACATTTGCCCTTCCCAAACCCCCTCCTTTCTTGATCCCTCTCACAATTTGAAGGAGGGATTTTGTGAATAGAGGAACTTGGTGTTTTTCCACTTTAAAACCATCATTAGCCTTTCTTGGGGCTGATCTACAGAATAGACGCTAAGCTGGCCAATGAACTCCTTATTGGTATAACTTTTAATGTATTGCACTGTATTTTTAGCAGACATTTGAAGTGTGTGTTTTTAGGTGTTTGTCCCTTCTTGTTAAATTTCTACTATTTCTAGTGGCGTTCGTGAGTTTAGGTTTCTGATTTTCAGACCTCTGTAGCTGATGTGGTTTTATTTGTATTCTTCCCTGAACTTTTTCCTCTCGTGAGAAAAAGCACCACAGAAACGGCTTCATCGTTAGCAGTAACAGTATGACAAGAACAGAAACAACTGTCGTGACTTCCTCTTTCCTCCAGAAGAATCCTAAAAATGGCTTGTTCAGCCTCTGCTATCTTGTTCATAGCTTGTGGTCATCTTCTTGTCTCCATGAGTTCCATGGTATAAAGTGATAAACCAGTTTTCTTGAAGCTGTCCAGAAAGGGCTGTACCTCCCATCATTCCCAATTAGCCAGGCAGGGAATGATAGAAGTTGCAGTCTTGCCCATCCTACCTAGTATGGTTTTGTTTGGCTTCTGTATATCCTTGGGAATTTGACTGCTGCCCCCAACCCTCTGTCTTTGCCTAGGAAAAAAGATTCTGCAAATTTTCCATTTCCTGTACCATGAGAAGCGAAACTATCTCACCCACTAGCTTCTGAGCTTGTTTTCTCTTTTTACAGAGCAGCTTAAGCGAACGGCTCCTAATGTCGCCTTAATTTTATTTCCTCTCTCTCTCGGCTGGATGGGTCTGTAGAAACCAGGAGAGGAAGAGGAGGAAGAGGAAGAAGAGTCAGAAAAGAAACCTGACCCTCTGCACCAGCTCATCCTGCACTTCAGCAGGACGGCGCTGACGGAGAAGACGTGAGTCACAGCCAGAGGGTGGGAGGGGAGCCGCCAAAATTTAGCTTGGCCGGCCGGACCCACCCATCCTTTGATGCACTTGGGATGGTCTTCCCCAACTGGACTGACTTTTGGGATCAGAACCGGGCTAGGGAGGAAGGGATTTCTTAAAGCGGCTGTGCGAAGCCTCCATGGGGAACTGCTGGATAGCTCAGTGGTTTAGGTCTCCGGTTGCGGATCCAGAGGTTCCCCACTGGGCCTCTTTGACAAGGTCTGAGAACCAGCTTTGCAGTTCTAAGAGGAATGATGATAACATAAATACAGCAATTTTAAAAAATATTTTTGATAGCATCCTGCCCCCAACTTGATGCCCTCCAGGTTTGTTAGAGACAAACATCTATCCTCTGGTTGCCTGGACTGGCTAAGGATGGGGACTGTTGTAATTGGACTCATCCAGGGAGCACCAGCTCAGGGAAACCTGGCCTCCAGTCTTGCTAAAGAGTGAAGGATTGGTCAGTCAGTCAAGAAGCTCTTCTGAAGTTATAGTAGCCAGGCTAGGGTGGTGCTGGCTTGAGTGTTCAGATCCTGACGTTTATCTGCCTTGTTTCAGCAAACTGGAAGAAGATTATCTGTACATGGCCTATGCTGACATCATGGCAAAGGTGAGCAAGATTCATTTTTTTATTTATTTAAAATGTTTTTGCCCCCACATTCTTCCTTAAAAGGACCCAAGGCAGCTGGTTTTTTTCCATACATCTCCATTTTAGTCTGGTCCTTTCTTTTGTCTTTTTTACTTTTTACGTAGTTGTAATAAATGTCAAACCCAGACTTACTTGTCATATGGGTTACCCCGACTACCCTTCTTTTTTTGGCGGCTCCTGCTCTTTTAGCAATCACTTGACAGGCAAAGAAGACACTGGAGGCCTTCAAGAAAAACCTAGACCATCACATGGCAGATACGCTTTTGATTTGTATTCCTGCCTTGAGCAGGGGGTTGGACTCAATGGCCTTAAGAGGCCCCCTTCCAACTTCATGATTTTGGGGTTCTGACTCCAAAGGACATCAAAACATAGAGGCTCTTCAACACACCCTATTGATTGATGTGATAGGAGTGCCAAGGCGTTTGTGCGAGCTCATTTCTAATTTCCTTTTGTCTCCTGGACCCCAGAGTTGCCACATCAATGAAGGAGAAGGTGAAGAAGAGGAGGAAGACGTTGAAGTCCCATTTGAGGTAAGCAGCCCTTCTGTGTTCAGGCCCCCTGCCCCCGCTTTAGCTGAAAGTCTTTGTAACAGGACAGGCTGTTCAGAAAGGCAACATCCCACAGGCAGATCCAAGCCCTCTTCTTTCTGGTGGGATGTGGGCAGGCCAGGAGGCCAGGAGAGTTTCCGGCCCTCCTCTGATCCTGTCTTCCCTTCCTGCAGGAGAAAGAGATGGAAAAACAGAAGCTTCTATATCAGCAGTCTCGGCTGCACAACCGCGGGGCGGCTGAGATGGTTCTGCAGATGATTAGCGCCTGCAAAGGTTAGAAGGGATCTGTCTCTTCTCTACTGCCCCCCCCGACCCATAGTGTGGGATGTCGGCTAGGCTCTTAAGATGTGCTGGAGTTGCCGTTCCCATCATCCTTTACATGGCCATTGATTTTACTGCAGTCCAGAATTTCTGAGGGACACTGGTTTGGGAAAAGACTGCCTGAGCCACATGTCCTTAATCACTGGGAGGAGAAGAGGATCGCTCTCCTCTTGTAGACGACAAGACACGTGGGTATAATAACCTGTTTCTGATTTGGCAGGAGAGCCCGGTGCCATGGTATCCTCCACGCTGAAGCTGGGCATTTCCATCCTGAATGGTGGTAACGAGGAAGTGCAGCAGGTAAGAGGACAAAGAGAGACACGGGAGGGCTCTTACTTAGCCAGTTACTCGCCCTTCCCTCCTTGCTTCCTCAGCCTTTATTCCTCACTCCTTGCTTGCCCTTTCTTTACTTCTAAAGCCAGTAAATAAGTGCAGGCTAGTGGGCAGCACCAGTTTAAGAAGATTGAAATCCACCCAGCTGAGCTAGTGTGAAAGGGGGAGTCATTAGAGAGTAAGGAGTTAGTAGCCGGCAAGTAGCCCTAAGTTTGAAAAATAGGTGGAGAAATGGAGGGAGGTGGGGAACCTGATGAGGGGACAGATGGTGTTTGAGTTCAGAGCAGGAGAATTCTTCTGTGTAAGACAAGAAAACGTCGTTGAGGTTATATGGCGTAGAACAAAGATTCCCAGCCTTGAGTCCCGAGATGTTCTTGAATTAAAACTCGCAGAAACCTTTACTGCTAGCTGGGCTGGCCAAGGGTTTCTGGGAGTCGTAGTCCAGGAACATCTGGGGACCCAAGGTGGGGAACCACTGGCATAGAGGATTAAGAGTTGATTGAGTGAAAACTGCAGAAGGTACATGATAAAGAAAAGCAGGTGTATCTACAAGTCAGTTGAGTCGTTTTGATCAGATTTGGTAGGAAACGTATTGGGGAAAAGAGTAACCGTGAGAAATGTAAAACCAAATAGGTATCCATATCTGCATTTTTGGGTTGGTGTTTTAGATAGCCATGAAAGGGGTGCTTGAGAGCACGCTTTGGGTGGGGAAAGTTCTAACTCCACGCCATCTGCGCTGTGGTCCTGATCCACCTTGCACGCTTCTCTGGAGCGGCTGTTCCACAAACGCACACAGTTGCAAGTGGGCTCATAAGAGCTTGAAACAAGGTGACCTGTCCTTTCTCCGATGCTAAATTTTGTCCCTATCTTCAGAAAATGCTGGATTATCTGAAGGAGAAACGTGACGTAGGTTTTTTCCAGAGTGTCCAGGCACTCATGCAGACCTGCAGGTATGTAGCCACGACCTCCTTCTCCTTTCTTTTTCCCCTTTTCCATACTTCTTTCTGTCTTATTTTCTGTGGTGACGTTTCCCCCCCCCTCATCTTGCTTAGCCCTATTCAAACCTGGCAGGCCTGTCCCTTAGCTCTGTTCACCTTTTTCTTTGTCTCTTCCCCTCCCCTCCTAGCGTGCTGGACCTCAATGCCTTTGAGAGGCAAAACAAAGCGGAAGGACTGGGAATGGTGACAGAAGACGGAACAAGTAAGTCCCTCCCCATCCACCGTCCTGCCCCACAGAGCGGTTTGGCAGGCCGTTTCCCCTACCTCCTCTTCCTGACCACGGGGAGGAAGCCAGTCCAGCTCTTTCCTGTTCACCGTGGCTGCTGACGCCTTGATCGCAGCCACCCGATCTCTGTACAACAAGCGCTCTGAGGCTGGCCCACCAGAACAGCCAGAAGCAGAGTTTTAGACTGGACACGGGGCTTCCTTTCCTGGTTTGACAACTGGAAACCCTTTTTTTTCCTATGGATTATGCCCGAAGACGGGGAGGTGGCTTAAAAGCCTCCCTCCCTCTCAGGGATCTGAGTTCAAGTCTTTGGCACTAAGCCCCAAGCTCTTCCATGGATTATGCCCAAAGACGGGGAGGTGGCTTTGAGTTGTAGAAGTAAACAAAACTTGAGTCCCCCCCCCTTCCTGGGTCCTTTTCCCACCTTAGGGCATGGACAGGTGTCCTCGCGGGCTGGTCAGTGTGGGCTCCCTCCCCCTTGTTGGGAAGGGTTATGGGGGAGGTCCTCTGCACCTTAGGGCATGGACGGTGTCCTAGCGGGCTGGTCAGTGTGGGCGCCCTCCCCCTTGTAGGGAAGGGTTATGGGGGAGGTCCTCTGCACATACTGGAGGTTGAGAGGCAGTGGCTTCCCTCCTCACAATCCTCCCCCAGGCATGACAGCCCCTGTAGCCTCCTTTCCCCCAGTGCTCTGCATATTCTCTTTTGTGTTCACAGCTTCCTTCCGCTGAGACATGGATTAATTGAGATTTCTAAACCAATAATGGATTCTGATTCTCTCAATCCACCTTTACCTTTACCTTGGGTTTTGTGGTCACATCCGTTTGTGTTTTCTTTTTTTCTTTCCATTCCACATTAATGTCATTTTAATACACGCTGGGTTTTTCCTTTCCTTTTGTTTTTTTAATCATCTCCTTTTCCTTCTTTGCTGTGATGTGTTGCGCTCACTCCTCCTCTCTCCCCCTCCCTCCTTCTCTCCCCTCCCCCTCCCCCGTTCTCATTGCTGCCCCTCCCTCAGTCATCACTCGTGAAAATGGTAAATAATCCTTTCACTTTTCTTAAGTGTTTTTTTTCCTTTAATGGCCAGCTTTGCAGCCTGTATTTCTTTGACTTCTTCTTTCTAACCTGACGGGTCGAAGACTGAAAACTGATCAGAACCTTCCCTGCCCTGCCATAGAATCTAGTGATCCCGTAAAGCCTTGGGAATCTACAGGGCTTTGGGGGGGGGGGAACAGTCACTATCCAGGGTGCTGAATCTGTGGCTTAGGGCGGCGTGGAGGAAGTGTCAAACCCAAAGCTCCTCTCTGTTCTTTTCCAGTCCCCTTTCTTCCCGTCACCGCCCTGATCTGCCACGCTCACCCGTCACTCCTGCAGGGCTCCACCTCTTAGCTTTTTATCCTATTTTTGGGTCCAGTGAAAATGTCACCCATGCTGACTTTGGATTTTGCATGCAATGCACGGGGATCCATTACTTTCTATAGAGGGTTAGTGGAATGGAAGTTTAGTTTAATCTCCACCTAGTCCAGAGAAGCTCCACCCATGGGACACTCTTGGGGGAGCAAACCCAAATCCTCAAAGTCACTGTTTTGGCACCGCAAGAATCACCTGACCAGTTCTGTTTCTGGAGTTAAAATCCAGAAAAAAAGTAACTTTTCCCGAGCTGTGTTCTACCAGTCTCCTAGTATGGTGGTCCCCAACCTTTGGCCTCCAGATGTTCTTGGACTTCAACTCCCAGAAATCCCGGCCAGCAGAGGGGGGGATGAAGGCTTCTGGGAGTTGTAGTGCAAGAACATCTGG